GATCGTTAGGGATGAGATTCTAATGATTTTCTAAGCGTAGCTTAGATGTGGCACAAGGCTGAAAGTAGGTGGCACCCAGTGAGGATCGAACTCCCTATTCAGTCGTAATTACTCTAACAATTACATAACGTCGAAGTGCCCAAAGGGATGAGAATCTGTAATGATGTTGACAATTTTTATAATTTTCTTCCAATAAAATATTTTTTCCCATTGTGTTGTATTCATCAACAAATAATGATTAGAGAATCGTGTATTTCTTATACCACTGAGATAACCAATCAGTTACAAGGGGAATGAAGTGAAGCATTTGAGAGAAAGATCAAGGAATATTCGCATATGCACCTCTAACAACAGGTGCATAATCTGCACTGTTGAAATCTTCCAAGGGAAAAAAAAAACAAAAAAAAACAAAAAAACAAGAGATGCATCTGAGCAAACGTAATTTATTGAGAACTTCTTTTGGTCAATTCCTGATGGAGTCCATTTCCCGGCAGACAACTGTGCTTATTTATGGCTTCTTTCCACGTTCAACACAGAGAGCCAATGTTGCCAAAAATTTACCCAGTCAATTTGTGTTTGCTAGTTGCATTCGTTTTTTCTTACATTTTTTTCGCTTTTCTAAAAACAGCAGGTATTTTAGGATTTATTTTTATCTTCGTTCGCATCGGTGTACGCAATTTATTAATTGCAATTTATTATTTGCAACACACCAAAAATATTACCTGCTTGTGAATCTGTATATTAATATTTTTGTTACTATAACAACAATATTAAAACCTAATGGCAGTTCTGTTGTACATTTCATATTTAATAAGATAAATTTGCAGTCATAAAAAACAGTTTAGATGTTTCCCTAATATATTGCTTTTGTGATGTCAACGAATACTCGTTGTCACTTTCATAATGTTCGTTGTAGTAGAGACCTTGTAATCGCAAGTTACAACTATAGTAACGCTGTTGGATAATGCTGGTGTCAGACGCCTTCGAATATCACTAGAACTAATAGTACTTGCTCGATATTACTCGAATAGTAACCACCGAATAGTAATCCGTGTAGTGATCCGAATAGAGAAATAGTATAGTGAATAGAATAGAGAATAGCGGTCCTTATAGCAATAGAGGATAGACTAGAAATAATGATCCGTATAATAATAGAGGAGAGACTAGAAATGATGATCCGTATAGTAATAGAGGATAGAATAGAAATGGCGATCAAATTAGACACACCTCCCATATATGTATTCCTCTATGCTTACGTGGTCTACTTAATTCAACAATGGGATCGCCTGTGTATGTTCACTGGCGATCTATGTTCAAACTCAAGTGTCGGCAGCGACGCTTTATTCCTGTTGAACAATTGCTAAACCGATTTTGTGAACCGGATGAAGTATATTGGACCCTTAAAAAGAAAATCATTTATGTCAAGGATTTTTGTTGTTCTGATGTTACGTTTAATTAATAGCATTTTAAAGTCATTTGTTTCCAGTTATACGTTACATTTTATAATAGTTCCTTCTTTAACTTAAAGCGTTTTTATTACAATAGTAAATTTGTGTTTTAATTCGCAGTCAAGGTGGAAACGTTTAAATACAGATTAATGAATAAAATTTCTATTTTCATTATGTTTTTAATATTTAAAAAAATACAGCCAGCCTATAAATATATTGGGTTGATGCATAATTATCAGGCGTTTTTGTAGGCGAGTGATTTGTTAATAAAACTTTTTTTTACTCTTTCTGACAAAAATATTTTATTTTCAGGTTATAAAAATGGCTGTCGATAATCATAAGCTCCGGAATAATCATTTAAAAATGTCATTTTTGAATTGTTATGTTGCTTTTTGTGTAATAAATATTGTTTTTAAAAAACGCCTGATAATTATGCACCAACCCAATATTATTTCGAAACAAAATAAATGGCTGCCTTCCTGTTACATAAATGCGATCGGTATTTTGTCACCGTTGCCTGCTATTTATGAAGACATCTTGTATAATTCTTAAGCTCAGTGTTTCCACTTTTGGGCGTTATAGGAATTTTTTCGTTTACGTTCTGTTTTTTTTTTTTGTTTTTTTTTATAAGGTACCGAAGTAAAGATGAATAAGGACGATTTTTCATGTTATTGATAAACCGCCATAGCACTTTTGGAGCCGCTTGCAAAAATCAATAGTGATTGGTACTGGAGTCAGCTTCAGAACGAACCAGGGTGTCGTTGATTCCTGATATGTCCAGGAAAGGGATATATTTGTTCGAAGTAGCAAAGTGGTTTTGGACTATTGTAACCGAGTAGGACAATCGAACAGGTCACCGTAAAGAACTGGTCCTCGTCGTAGTGGTAGGCAATAGGCGTAGGCCAATAGGCGTCCTGTACCTCCACATCAGTCTGTATTTATGGCTAACACCAGCCAATCATATTACAGTGAAGGGGAAGCCAGATGTATGCATATTCATTACACCAGTTCCAAAAAGAGACCAAAAAGTGACTATAGTTAGTGACTATAGTTATGCATTTTAGAAGTGAAATGACATCTTTGTGACGCCACTGCAAAGCTGTCAGCTCATGTAATGAGCAGAGCCTGGAATGTAATGCAAAGTTTCTGTTTATGCGGACAAATATTGAAAAATCGCTCTATCCAACAGTGTTTCCGTCTTCGTCTCTTTGTTGCAGTTCCCATGCAAATAAATAAGCGGCATTACTTTCTAGTCGACCCCCTTTATTTTCGATAAAGTGCAGTGGTTCTTTCTCTGTCTTCACACTTAATTTCTCTCTTTATTTCCATTAATTTTACACGAGAAAACCAACTTGTTTTCAATATCTCTTTTACTTGTTACACTGAATGTTGTTTTCTTATACCGCATTTTGAGTATCCAATTTCTTTAGGTCCTCTCAGTGAATCTACTTTTAAAATAGTAATAATGAACAGTGTTTTTTTTTTCTTTCGCTGTCATTTCCGTTTCATTGTTTTTTTCATTTACATTATTTACCTTTTTCGGACTGTTATCCTCAGCTTAATTGCCATATTCGAAACGTTTCTGGCCTTATTCAGGTGATTGGAATTTCGAACCAAACTTTTTATTTCGTCCACCGGGGGTAGATTGTTCTAGTGCCACGTGACATGTCTCTTCCGGATGTCTGTCAGTTATTTCCATTTAACTCGACTCTCCAAGTTTTTTTTTTTTTTTTTTTTTGGTTCACCACAGCTCTGGCCTGGTATTGAACTCGCAACTCTTTGGGTCTAGTCACTGGATCTAACCAACTGGACCATATATGTCCAAAAAAAAGAAAAATCTTGGAGAGCTAAGATAAAAGGAAACAACTGAAACACCCGGAAGTGGCATGGCACGTGGAAGTAGAACAATCTACCCCAGTGGACGAAATAAAGGTTTCCGTTCGAAATTCCAATCGCCTGAAGAAGAAACATTTTTTTTCATTTATTCAAAAGTCGCATTACAAGAGTGTCTTTCCTGGAGACAACCAAGTTGGGTTTGGTTTATTTTGTTTTACGGCATATCAACTTCAATGGGTTATTTAATGCCGACAACATTTTTAGGATAGATTCGTATGAATAGAATATGTATTCTTTGCTTTAGATTGGTTTGGTTTATTTTGTTTTATGGCATATCAACCTCAATGGGTTATTTAATGGCGATAACATTTTTAGGATAGATTCGTATGAATAGAATATGTATTCTTTGCTTTAGATTGGTTTGGTTTATTTTGTTTTATGGCATATCAACCTCAATGGGTTATTTAATGGCGATAACATTTTTAGGATAGATTCGTATGAATAGAATATGTATTCTTTGCTTTAGATTGGTTTGGTTTATTTTGTTTTTATGGCATATCAACCTCAATGGGTTATTTAATGGCGATAACATTTTAGGATAGATTCGTATGAATAGAATATGTATTCTTTGCTTTAGATTGGTTTGGTTTATTTTGTTTTATGGCATATCAACCTCAATGGGTTATTTAATGGCGATAACATTTTTAGGATAGATTCGTATGAATAGAATATGTATTCTTTGCTTTAGATTGGTTTGGTTTATTTTGTTTTATGGCATATCAACCTCAATGGGTTATTTAATGGCGATAACATTTTTAGGATAGATTCGTATGAATAGAATATGTATTCTTTGGTTTAGATCGATTTGGTTTATTTTGTTTTACGGCATATCAACTTCAATGGGTTATTTAATGCCAACAACATTTTTAGGATAGATTTGTATGAATAGAATATGTATTCTTTGGTTTAGATTGATTTGGTTTATTTTGTTTTACGGCATATCAACTTCAATGGGTTATTTAATGCCGACAACATTTTTAGGATAGATTTGTATGAATAGAACATGTATTCTTTGGTTTAGATTGATTTGGTTTATTTTGTTTTACGGCATATCAACTTCAATGGGTTATTTAATGCCGACAACATTTTTAGGATAGATTCGTATGAATAGAATATGTATTCTTTGGTTTAGATTGGTTTGGTTTATTTTGTTTAACGGCATATCAACCTCAATGGGTTATTTAATGCCGACAACATTTTTAGGATAGATTCATATGAATAGAATATGTATTCTTTGGTTTAGATTGGTTTGGTTTATTTTGTTTTACGGCAATGGGTTATTTAATGCCGAAAACTTTTTTTTTTATTGCTGATAATATTTTGTTTTGTCAAAAATCTGTTTCTGGTAATATTTTTACCTTCAAAATTGTATTGCTGGTAATAATTTCCTTTCAAAAAAGTATTGCTGGTAATAGTTAACTATTTTCCCATAGCCGGGACCCTAATAGGTGCTACCACCCCGGGTCAGTGTGGACCTGAGAACACCAGCAATTAAGAGGTGGTCCCACGCACCTCAAAACCTCCTGATCAGAGTCCTTGCTGCTGGATGTAGTTTAACGTCTTAACCAGGACGAGTAGACCACCAGTGGAATAGGTGTAAAAAAAAAAAAAAGACCAACATTTACAGGATACTGACTTTATTCTGACAAATGTATC